ACTTCTCACGAATCCTCTGTGTAACGGCAGCTCCAGTGCAGTATTTATAACCTTTAAAATTTTAATTTAAACATTGACAAAACCATGTTAGTTTCTAATTAAATCCCATTTTCTCCCAGGGATTTTAATTTCAAAGTAATTTATCAGATTTAAGGATCCTCAAAACATTTTGCATGTTTTTCTTTCTAACCTGCCATGCCCGCTGATTTATTTTCCTTATTCGTTAGCAGGAGGATTCATTAGTCATTAAGCGAGTGGGTGGGTTGGGAGGGAGCAAAAATGGTTAGTGATTATGAAAACAAAAAATCAGAGCTGTAAGAAGCATATGTTGGGATCGTAATCCTGACACCTCTGTGTCTCAGCAAAGCAGCTAGTAATTGTACCGTAATGAAATGTTCTTGTTTGATAACCAGTTAATTAGAGAAGACAATTATTCCAAACCCCGCTGACGCCCACGAACGGCTCCGTGTCGCGCAGGCACTGAATGACAGCCGGAGCTGTTATCGGTAACCTCTGCATCCCAGCCCGCCTGCTTTAGCAGAAATGCTGCTTTCCAAGACTGGAGAAGGATGAAAAGCACACAAACTCTCCCCAGAAAAATCAAGGGGTCCACTGATCCCCAGTGAACGGGTCTCTGCTACATTCCTACGTGGAGTTTGGGGCATTTTCCTTCAAAAAAGAGACAGATCATCAGGAGAGAAGAGATGAAAAGTGCAGCAAAGGTCTCCAGGGGGAGGGCTGAAGGACTCAGTTTATTCGGCTAGGAGAGAAGACCAAGAAGAGCCACAGCCTCCAAATGCAACGCACTGAAGAAAGAGGCAATGAATGGCCCTCTGCATCTACTGCAGATAGGAAAAGAGGCAATAGGCTTAAATTGTAACAAGGGAAATGTTGGCTAAGCAGGAGGAAAGCATTCCTAACAGTAAGGATAATTAAGCATGGGAAGAGATTGCCTGGGGAGATGTGTAATCTCCACCACTGAAGGTTTAAGAACAGATTAGGCACACATCCATCAAGAATGGCTTATGTAGAGATGATCCTGACTTCAGGCAGCAGTATGGTCTGGCTGACCTCTTAAGTCTCTCCTTGCCCTCCTTTCTATGATTCCATGACTGGGTTTTTTTTTTTCCCCTGAATGTATAAATTTGGATTTTATTCTGCTTGTAAATCTGGAGGGTTTTTCTTGTAACTATTATACACTTTCCTACAAGATATCTCTTGGGATCTTCATAACTTACAGCTTATTCATAAGATGACTCGAAAGTACTTGCTCCTTGCACAGTGCTGTCTGCCACACCACTCTGCTCTTTGCACGTGGCCGTGTTTGCTATATGCATTTCCGATGGCCCGTATGGGCCATCGGAAATGCATATAGCAAACACGGCCACGTCATCCTTATTCCTTCCCAGCTCTTCCTCACCTCTTCACACCATCCTCTGTATCCCTCCTACTCGCTTCTTGGGAAAGACATATTCTATCCCTCTCCCCATTAAAACCAACTAACCCAAGCTACGTTTACTGTGTAAATCTCATCATGTCTCCTTTGACCTAATACCTATAGTCTGGATTGCTAAGTCCTGAGGTCAACAAGCTTGGACACGGGAGGCACCTGTCAATGATGCCCATCATGAGGTTGCTGGTTAAGCAGTGCTCCAATTTCCCTGGGCTCTCCCAGCTATGGCATGGGAGCTGTTGAGCATTTAACATCCCCGAGGGCACCTACATAGAAGGCTCTGGCTATGGGAAGTGTTTGCATGGTTTCAGAAGAGCTCCTCCTTTACCCTGGGTGGTGGTGTGAAGCGGTCCTTTGGAGAATGAATGGATAAAGCCATAATCAAGTAGCAATTACCACCAATTAAAGTATCCTGAAAGATTCCTACTTTCCTCTCTGCCTTGACTTCATGGTGCCACCTGGCTCTAAGTCATCTGTCACTTCATGTGAGGGCACAAGTGTGCTCCCAGGACAACCCACAGAAGACTCCAAATGAAACAGAGAAGGGTGACAAAGCCAAGCCCTAACCTCCAATGAAAAGCACACAACATTCATCTTCCACGCTTCTGATCTTGCTCCCCAAAAAGACAAGTCACGCTCTTGGAGCTGTTTTTAAGAGCAGTTCTGACCCTTCACATCTTCCCCATCACTCTTCTGGTCTCCACCAGACCTCTCCTGAAACCTTGTTTGGGACTGATGCTTTCATCCTTCTCTGGTACATGGCTTTCCTTGACACTCAGAGGATGCTGAAATCTCCTTCCAGGCCAGGACAACTGGTTGGACACTTCCAGCCCCTCACTGCCAGGGCTTTGGGGCAGCAGCAGCAAACTGCAACCAGGGGTGGCTCCACCGCTGACAGCTCTGTACAATGCTGGAAGCGGCAGTTTGATGGCCACGCTGGCAGGCAGCACCTGCTGCATGCGATTCCCATGGGATCTCTCCCCTGTGATGGCTCTGCCGTAACACAGCTTTATAGCTGGCCCGAGATGCCTCTGTCCCACTGCAGTGTCCTGTCACCAGGTGATGTATCAGGTTCAATGAGCAGATGGATCTGATTAGATGGGTGATCTATTATTTTCTGCTGAGTGAGTAATTTTTCTGCTGGGTAATTTATCCCTGGAGTGTGAACACTGAGTTATTGTCCAGGCTGTGCGTTTCTCTGGGAAAATCACATATGCATTTGGCCATGGAGTCACTTAGCATGACTGAACTGGTCCTGGTGAAGCAGGGCTACCGTGAGCAGGAACTCATCTCCAGTACCTTTGTGTCCCCAGTAAGTCCCCAGATTCATAAACTCAACTGGAAATGCTTATTTTCTCCAACTTGGCTTCTGATTGCTTAGGATGGGAAGCCCTGGTTTAGCCTCAGGTTCACTCAGCAAATTGCTCAGGAACTTCTTCGTGCCTCTGCTCTGAGTTTCCAGGGACTAGGGAAACACCAACCCAATGCTTTGAATTTGTTGCTGGATTTCCTAGCAAAAAGAAGTGGGTTCCAGAGACATGTGCAACTGCCAGCTTGGTGGTGTCCCCATGCTCCATCATCACCAGGCTCCAAACCCATGGCCTCTTCCACCAAAATACCGTGGGCAATGGGAAGGTGTTCAGAGATGGAATAAGAGAACATGGCAGAGAAGAGCAAATCCCACCAGTGACTTCTCAATATGCTCTGAAGACTTTCTAGGCTTATCACTCAAATGAAATCCCCCTGTTGGAGGATGGCCACCCAAGGCTGGGTGTCACCTCCTCTGAAGCAGAGACCTCCCGCGGGAGGGCGGGTGGAAGGAGAGGAGGGGGCTGCAGCCCTGCTGGGTGGTACGAGCTGGGACCAGGCCGTGAGCACTATGTCCGTGCCAGGGAAAAATCCTTCCCAGTGAATTAGCAGAGTTTACTCCAATCTAGTGCTCAACTTCTCCTAATTTCTGTCAAATCAGGGAACCCTTTTAAACCTCGCTGGATAACGCTGCAAATACTGGTCTATATCTGCTAATGAAAAAAAATAACACCGAGGCATGGGATTCTGCGAGCCTCGAGCAGGGACCTGGAGCTGCAGGCGGATTAGTACGACAGGTACCCCATTTGATGATAATGGCTGAATTAGCATTTCACTCTCCACCGAAGTCTAAGCTATCTCTACAGGAACAGCTGCTAAACTATTTGCAAAGTTCAAAGAGTATGTATTAATTTTTTTTTTCTTCCCCGAGTCACATTCTTCAGATTCCCATGTAAGCTTCTTAGAAAGGGCCATGCCAGCTGTTGAAGAATGAAGATTACAACATCCTGCTAATGCAGCGCTGGAGATATTTAAAGGTATTGTTATTTATTACCGTTACGCACGCACGGCCACACTGGAAAGGGTTAAAATGGGGAAGAAAACGGCGCTTTGCCGAACAGGTGTCCTTGAGCAGTACCCAAGGACACGGAGATTGCTAATCCTGTATTCCACAGCATGATCAAATCACCAGGCAACAGATATAAATAAAAAAAGGCAGGAAATAAGGAAATTTAGATACAAGTGTGTCAGAGGGAAAATGAAGATTCATTGTGAAGAGGCTGAGAAGAGAAGAAGAAGAAGGAACAAAATGACAAAGGCACAAATGATAAACCAGTAAGAACGAAAGGAAGGGGGGGTGGTGGGTGGTGAAAGCCTCTCGGTGAAATACATGTCTCTGACAGCAGCAGCCAAATCAAAGATGCTCCTAGATTATATGGTTTCTTGCATAATACGCATTCTGGTTCCCGCCTGGTGTTTGTCTTTCAGCTAGCGCACAGGGAAAAAAACCATATCTGAAATGGGACGTGAGCAACCTTTATTTTGCTTGTTTCATCAGGAGGAGAAAGCAAATTTGCTTTGTGGGAGCAGCAGCACCTGCTCAATGGCAAATAAATAGCTACGGCTTTGATATTTCAGTGCATATAATCATTAGCAGCACAAATGGCAGAGGATTAACCCTCCGTGTGCTGGCCTGAGCGGTACCTGGCAAAGGGATGGCTGCTCGTTTCTGCCCCAGAAATGCTCCAGGTAGCGTCTGTGGGGTGAGCGCAGCTAGAGCGGGACTCAGGCTCTGCCTGCCTGGGGGGGCACGGGACCACCCTAGCCCGAGGCACCGGCTGCGTCGCACCGGCAGCACGGCTACAAGCACTGGGCTTTCCTCGTCCCCTCGGCACTGGCCACCCCACGCTCTACGTACCTCCTCTGTGCGTGGTGGAGCTGGGAGGGATGGATGGACACATCTGCAGGCACAGCGGGGCATGCGCCGGGGGCTGCTGACACGTGCTGGGGGATCACAAGTCCCAAACGCCCTGGCTGAGGTTGGGTTTATCGGCCAGCTTGCTTTGAACCCCCGCCCTGGTTGCTCCCTGCCTGCTCTGCCTGCTGTTCTGCCCGCACAAGGCAGGAACCAAAACAGACCCAGGGCTGAGGCAATGCTGTGCCTGTTGGAAAGTGGCAAATAAGGTTTGTAATCTTCATCTGAAGCAGAAACTAACAGTGATATAAATGATGGCTTAATAACTGCACGGTGGGGCTGGGGTCTGCACATCAGTGCTCTGGAGACGTGATGCCCCAGCCCCACCCTTAACATCTCAGGCTGTGAGGGATCCCAGCCCAAAATCATATCCTCCAGCCTCAAATTCACCCTCTTTTCTCATGCCAGGAAGAGACGAAGCTTTCTTTAACTAAGCCCTTGGTCCTAATTGAGGAAGAACGTTCAGATTTGACCTCTTGTTTGCCTACTTTGCCATCGCTGTGTTGGCTTTTCCCTGGGTTGTCTTCCGCACTGCTTTCTGCAGTGAGGATACGAAGATATTCAAAACCACTGTTGTCACTGGAGCTAGAAGCAGCGCACCGGATGAAATACTTCCTTCTTCTACCTTTCCACCCCTGCCCAGGGCGTGATGCTCCTGCCCGGCAATGAGCCAAACCACGGTTCGGTGCAGCCACGTGGCAGTCTGGTCTCCCAGGTCCCAGCAGAATTTGGCCAGTGATGGCATCGCCGCATAGCTGTCCTGCTCAGTCACCGTCCCCTCTCGAGATGTGCCAAAAGGGCGCTTGGCATGGGCTGCTTGCCTTCACCGTGAATGCATCATGTCCTGCAGTCCTCTGGAGAAAGGACCTGCAGGACATCCTAGGCACTTGTTTTCACGTATTAAAGACAATTGGTTAATGCTTTTTTTTTTCTTTTTCCTTTTTCCTTTTTTCCTTTCCATGCATTGCCTTATGAGTCTAAACAAACTCGACTGGGGATGCTGGCAGGGGAAAGCAAACAGGGACTAAATAAACTCTCTTCCAGCCAAACACTTCGAGTGAACGTGCCCCATCGCACAAACCAGCAATACAGTGCCAGAGCCCAAGATAAATAGTGTCCCTCCAGCCGGAGTCCCGGGCAGGGAGGTAGCTGTCATGGGAGAAAAGTATACAGCTGGAGACAAAGCCAGGAAGTTAATATTTAAGCATTCAGACAAGGAACAAATGACTTAATTAAATCAATTACAGAGGGAGAAATGGAGCCACTTAGAAAGCGTGTGTAAAGAGACGGCAAGGCTGCTACTATCTCATAAAAGAGAAGAAGGGAGAGTTAGCAGGGAAGATAAACGGACTGGTCTAATCCCTGCTGTTAATTAAGAGCCGAGCATTTGCACTGCGCTGAGTCAGGGTCGCTCCAGCACTTCCATTATATAAACCACATTTGCAGCTGAGCTCAGTGCCCAATCTACAGAGATATTTGTAACCAGATGGAGTAAGGGAGAGGCAGACCGAGATGTTGGGAGGCATGAAAGCAGGAGAAAGGTGACATAAAAGTTCTTCCATGCTCCTGAATCTCCAACACCTCAACCAAAAGCCCAAACCCAGCCCCTGCCCTACAGCTTCCCAGGCAGCAGGGCTGGGACCAGCCGGCTGCACAAGGAGGGATCTTCCTCCCTTCAGCACAAGAAATTCCTGCATGATCCCCCAGCGATCCATTCAAAGAGGAGGAAAGGGAGGATCATGAAAACATCAAAACAACATCTGCACAGTATGGAGACTCCAAATGGATCAGCAAAAGGGCTTTCATCCCGGAAGATGCCTTGTTCTTATGCCCAACTTGGTGCCGGGTGGAAAGCAAGGCTATTTCCTAGCATGACTTCCATCTCAATGGCTTTTTTTCCTCCTTGCTGCTCCCTCCCCAAACGTAGCTGCTTCAAATGCTGGCCATGGACACTCGGCAGGAGATGGAGCCTGACACCCAGTGGGAGATGGAGCTGGACACCCAACGGGAGATGGAGCCGGACACCCAACGGGAGATGGAGGCAGCTTATGCTGGCAGCCAGGCTCTAGGAGAAGGGCTCTCCACTCATGGGGGGATTGTCAGTTTGAACATGTTTGGGTTCTGAGACACATCACACACAGTGTCAGCTCTCGCTCTGCCTGATAAAAAGACATACTTGCTACGGAAAGTGTTCCCTGGGGTTTTCTCAGTAGGCAACAAGCAATTACAGGCTTTTGTAACTGACTCAGCATCAACACAACAGTTACAGCAGGACCTAGAAGTCTCTGCGTGAAGCAGACTGAAAGTGGTTGACAGCTTTGGGGCAGGAAGGTTTCCTCTGCCAGACCACTTCAGACATCTCCTTCCTAAGCTTTTAAAGCCTTAACGTTAGATTTGAGGCCAGCGACGTAGAGAGTTAATAGATTTCAGCCGGTTTGCCGTCACTCCTTGTAAGTAAATAAGCAAATACAAACCCATCTCCCATCTAAGGCTGTAAAATCCTCGTGTCAGGGAAAGGCCACTGACGGTTTTTGCGGAGTATGATCTTATCAGGAATAATTAGTTGTCATAAAAATTTTTCCTCTTCCTCATGTAACAACAGAGGTTTTTCTAAAAAAAGGGGCAGAGGCAAAACAAACTTAGCGCATCCTTCCACAGCCCCATCCCTGCCCTGCCTGCGACGGGGCTCAGACCTCCCTCCTCGGGGCACGCGGGTGGCAAAGACCCCCCTGTACAGGGTGTACCCCAAGGACGTGTCCTAGGTCACGTCGCTGCCGCACCGGCTCCGGGCTGGGAGCACGGGATGCAAACCACTCGAGCATCGCTTCGAGTGGCAGCGGGCACCTCAGCACCACTCCTGAAAATAACCTCCGTTTCTGCGCACACACTTGAGCCTGTTTAAAGCCCTGGCTACTCCTGACGTGCCTGGCGAGACTCTGACGGTCTGTGCCATGGAAAAAGGTATTTAAACAGTTGAAAGAAAAAAAAAGGAAAAAAAAAAGAGAGATCAGTAACTCACTTGTTTTTGTTCTTCTCCCAAACTGTCCCACATTGACGCAACAATTTTGGATACGTCTCCGAAGGTAGCGTTGGGGTTTTGCCCTTTGATGGCTGCTTGCGTGTCTCTGAAAAACAGGGCGTAGGCTGACACGGGCTTCTGGGGCTCATTGGGATCCTTCTTTTTCTTCTTCTTTTGGCTTTTGGGCTTTTTGCCCAGGTCTGTTGATGGTCTTTTCTCTCCAGTAACCTGCAAAACCAAGAGATGTCCCATAGCGGTCAGCTGGGAGTAGTCTGACAGGAGTCCCTCCTAGAGCTTCTTAGCAAAGGGGACAAGAGAGGGCACGGGCAGAGCAGGGCTCCCAGCGTGGCGAGGGGGGCAGCAGCCCTGGGGGTCTCTCTGACCCACGCGAACTGCCGGTGGGTGCCTGAGCCTGGCTTGGGTGCCTCCTCACGGCCCGGTTCAAGTTTGGGTTCACCTCTCACTGCCCCGGTCATCCCTGCTCCAAAGCTGGGGCTTTCCAGACACTCATCCTCAGTCACCCCCTCTCCCCCTCCTCCTGCCCGGCATCACGAGCTCACTCTCTCCTTGATCGTCTTCTGAGACCTCTCCAAACACCTTGCTTCCCAGCCAGATCCCTTTAGCAGTCCATGATTTTTTCCAAACTTGGCTTCCACGTGATTTCTGAGTTCCAGCCCAATAATCCCCCTTTGCAAGCTGCTTCTGACTTTTCTCACCCACGTGTG